TATATGATGGAAGGTTATAACAAGTCGGACGCAACTTCTTTTTCTTTCATGTTACAAGTTTTCGCTTTTTTTTACACTTTTTAATTCTAATTGAATCTTTTTCCTGTTTAATTTTACCTTTTACTTACTTTTTACTTGAGACTTTTGTAATTTTTTTTGCTTTTTTGGGCTTATTTTTAATCCTTTTTTCAAATTTCATTTGTTTTAGTTGTCGCCCGTGTGCTCTATTTGTATCGTTTTTTGTAACGTCCATATTGGCCTGACTTGTGTGGTGATGAGGTATAATTTGTTTCTGTATCTGCCTGTTTGATCTACACTTACTTCTACGGTTATCCTCAGTATTCAAGGTTTTATCTTTGACGGTCTGCATATGTTGTCGATACTTCCGTTTCTGAATAGCGTTTGTTTCATTTGTGCAGATTGTAGTATTTGAATCGCTCTTTGCCTTTTTTGATAAAGTGTACCTTTGAAATCATTTTTGGCCTATTGATCTTTTGTACCCCCTTTTTCTGAGATAGTTTCCTGTTGTGGTGCTGACAGCAAAACAAATATTTTTTTTACGTAGTTGCCCGTACATTTACAATGCGTTTATGACTCCTCTTATTTTTATTCGGTCTTTATGTGCGCTAGACTTGCATCCTTCCCAGGTGCTTTCGGGTTTTCTTCATCGACTCTGATACGATGAAGTTATTGTCTTTAATGCGTCTTATGTTAGACATAAATACACTTTTTTGAAAATCCAAGGACTCCAACCAAGCATTCCACCAATGTGGACACTGCTCCTTCGGTTGTTCCTGTTCCTACTGTTGTAAGTCGACCAACCCTCGCCTCGACTACCCCAGAATCCGTGTTGTCAACTACTATACGAAATTCGCCTGTTAGGCTTCTCCTTAATTCCACGGCAACGATTTCAGATACGTTAATATCTGTTCAACCGCAGTTTGCAATTTTTCCTTCTGTAAAACTTTCATCAAGTGAGCAGGTTGCAGACCGGCCCGTTGCCATTAATTCTGGTAAGCATTATGCTGATTTGTCGATTGTTCTAACTCTCGTACTATTCCATATTGCTTTGTTCCTCCAATCATAGGTGGAACTGTTCCAAAGAAAACAGATTTTGACTCGAATTGTGGTGTGGCCGACACAACCCCTACACATTTCAGTCCAATAACGATTATTACGCCAAATAAAATGTCTTCCTCACCTCAAATAATGCCTCTCGTACAGAATACTGAACTGAAATCCTTTGCTCGACCTTCCACATTAAGTAGTGGTGCGTCATTCTCTACCGTTGTAACTACTGCCAATGCTAAAATTCTACCCATTGCCGTTCCTGTTGACACGGTGCCTCATCCATCTCCCAACCTTTTGACCACCCTTCGTGTAAGTTACGTTACAAACGTGTTTATATCCGTTGGTAAATAGTACTCGTCTTTGAACTTTCTTTGATCTAGCCCATGAAGAGTGATTCTGCCAATATTTCATCCCTTTCTTCGGTACAAGTAAGCACTGCAAGTCAATCTGTACCTGATCCAATTGTCAGCTCAACGACGCAATTTTTAAAAGCCTCCAGTCTTGTCTCCCACTCTTCTGTGCCTGCTGCATCCGTTGAAGCCAATCAGCCAACGTCCTTGATATCCGTCTCTAAAAGTGGTCAATCTACTATTCGTCCAGCGCCGAGGATTCCCATAGCGGTCGCTCCAAATCGCCCAACTAGCACAGGAGTAGCGCTAAGTCGTCCATCAATTGGTCGGCAGCCTATTATTGCTCCCTTGTCCCCAATCCATTCTCCTACTTGTCCTTTAACTCCAAGTCGAAAACGTGCTCGAAAACAGCAACTTTTAGCTCCACAAGGAACAGAAACTCCTGCCACAGCAACGGCTACCGGCGCGTCGTCAGCTGTGGTCAATATTGTTGAAATGGTCACACCGCAGAATGACGGTGCCGCTAAATCATCCATTCAAAAAGTTATCACTAGTTCTGTTGTAAATTCAGCCGCTACAACTGTTCCAACTTCTACTCCTAATATCGAGGCTGCTCTGGTAGGTTTTGCTACTTTTTAGGGATCATCTTCATTTTTATGTCGAATGAAACCTATTTCGTATTTCAGCAGTCAAGCAATCCTTCCTCAACGCTACCTATTGTTACTGTGGCTAACTCGAGTTCGCCCGGATCGGGTCAAGTGCTAAATCTGCGTTTTCTGCAGGTCCGCACAACTTCTAACAGTGGTCAGTCAGGAAAAGAAGTTGCGCCACATCTCGAACAAGTTGCTATATCACCTGCAACCCCAATAATGACGCCTCAGTTCCATGGTTTGGTAGTCACTTCATCCTCGAGTACTGCTTCGGATGAGACGCAGCCTCCTGTGACCTCAGCACCAGCGCCAACTACCACTGCTTCGATTGCCGCCTCTTTGGTTACCGCGTCTTCCTTTCATTCAGGCAGTCTTGCCTCTCAACAATCGATGTACGTTTTCCCTGCTACGGCTGTGGCGACCCCTCTGCGAACAACTTCGACTGCAACAGCGTCGGTTGGAAATGTAGTTCAGGTCCGCTTTCGAACTCCCACTCCCACGAAACCTCTTCTCTCTAATGCAACAGCTCAACAGGTAATTTAATATCGTTTTATAACAGTAGCAGTATTATTAGACTTGTTGGCAAACCCCGTTTAGATAGTTAAAATTATCTGCTCAAGCTGGGTACTCTGGTGTTGTGTAGATTTATGAGGTTAAGTTTTGTAATCTTTAGACCGTACGAACTGTTCTGAGCCAACCGGTGACAAGTAATACTGTGCAAGGTGGTTTCCATGTGGCTTTACAGCCCACATCTCCACCTCTAAGAAAAACTCCCTCGGTTGATTGGCCCGCTTTAAAACCCAGTACGTCAGCGAAGCAAGCATTACCATTTGCTCCTGCAACTGCCACGTCCAAGGAATGCATTCATCAAGTGCCATCGACCTCAATCAACACAATCTCAAAGGTACATGCCGACTGCTATTGTTCATCATTTTTTATCAAGTGCGCCGCTACTATGTGAGTATGAATTACTTGTACGAATAGTGTCCAATTTCTGACACCTGTTTTTTTTTGCAAAGGCGACTCCGATGGACAGTTCAGGTCAGCCGACTGTGCCGATCCTTCGTGTGTCCGATCCGAACAACAGGAACTGTTTTGAAAGTTTGAGTAATGCAAATACAACCACCACATCCCCATGCAAACGACCAAGAAAGCAAAGCAATAGTGGAAGCGTTATAAAAAAACAATGTACGTGGGAATTGCGTACGGATCCAATGGACTCGAATAAAAGTGTTTGGCGATCCCCTCTGGAACGTGCAGATCAGCAGTCGCCTTCGCGCTCCTTACAGAACTCTGAAACTGTAAACACGACTTTGAAAAAAGAAGTGGATATGGTCGGAACTGCGGATTCAGTTATTCATGGCCGACCTGTGCGAATGCGTCTGTACAAGCCATCACACCTGGCTTTACGTTTCAATGGGCTTTGGAGGGGACCCAAAACCGGTCACTTTCTCAGGTTCGCTTGATTTATGATATTCCATTCAATGTCGCATGCCATTTCTCTAACCATTTTTAAAGCTTTCAATCGCCATGGTTATTCCTAATCATCATCGATAAAAAGTTCGGTATAAGCGTGTGATATTTGAGTCGACTTAAGCGCTGCAAGTGCCTGGGCAATTAAAACCCTGTTTATTGTTGTACTTCGTTTAAATACAATTACAGTCACTATTAAAGTGGCAAAATTGTCTCAAACCAACTGCAATGTTTTGATATCCGAGGATGTGGAACACGCTCCTTGTCATGCGTCAATTATGGGTTCATAAAAGCATATTAAAAGTAGTGACTTTTTACCATACATTAAACACATACTCTTGTAGATGCAGCTACGTAGATAGGCGGGTTTCTTGCGGGGATTGACATTTCAGCACCTCTTTTGTCCATTCTAGATTTCGCCTCATTTTTCTGTTTAACGCAAATCTGCGTTTTTTCGTTTCCTGACAATATTTAAGAGATAAAGTTTTTACCTATCACGAAAGCATTTGCTATTTAACGCTGATTTTAGGTCATCTGAGATACGACAACGACCAGAAGGTCCTCAGTCTCCCTCAATCTCTCAATTTCGAGCTTCATCGACTATTAACAGGCATTCTCTCGAGCCAGGGCTTCGGCGCCGGCGTCCACGCGATCAAGTGCAGTATGAGCAGTTGGAGGTATTTGAAGTCGACAGTTCCAAAAATCCAGACTTCTTTGCGCTCTCCGAGCTGCTCGAGTTGCGCAATCAACAGGCCGAAATGGGCTTTATAAATCATCCTGTGGACACGACTTCACCACTTGATTTGAACTGCTGGCGAATTATCTTGTGTTTAAAAAATTGCGAAAAGCTGGTGCGTTTATAAAACTAACTTGGTTTGCTTTTAGGAGACGGTTTTGTTATCGAAATAAGTCACTACCAAATCTTATAATCGCTTAGACCTGATACGTTTCTCTGTAAAACTATGGCATCTTTGGCATTATCATACTTAAAGCATTTTTTTGGTGCGTTCATTCGATACTTTCACTTTAGCGCACCGCTTTTGACATATCACTTCGCCACGGTTTTCGAAATAAAAGGCCGTCCCTCGTTTTTGGCTAAATCCCAAATGATTTAATTCCCGAATCTTTCTTAGATTGGCGTAGAATATGAGAAATTGTCGACGCTTTCCAGGGCATTTGATAGAACCTTTCGAAAGCAGTGTGAATGCTGCAGTGGTCAGGGAACGCAAGGTGGGGAGGCGTCTTCCATGCGTGATTTCATCGAGGATCAGCAGCAGGAGCTGATCACTCGTCTCTTCTTGCAGGCCATCCCTCCTGCCTCCCCTTCCACCTCTGAATCTCGTGCCGCAGATCAGGAGGGCATAGGGAGGAAAAAACGGGCTTATGATAAGCCCATGCAATGCACTAAGGCTGAAATGGATCTCAAAGTAGTTAAAGAACGTACTACGGTCAGTTTCAATCAATCATTATGCTTTTGATTTCAACGAGTGTGTTCACTATCGAGGGTGTGCAAATTTACACAAATTTTATTGAAACGTGTCACGTGAGACATGGTGTTTATGGCTTTCGTTTTGTGATCTAAATAAAGCTTTAGTTGAATATCTTGTAAAACAAAATGACATCTAGCATACTCGGTCATCGTCATATCTATAAATACCTTATTCTCGTTCTTCATTTCCTCTTCTTAGGGCCTACTTCAGAGGATACGGGCTTTGATGGAAGGTCTTCGACGAGTGTCTCAATTGTCGTTCGATTTGATCACTGGTCACCGGGAGTCAGTTATTGCCTTTGTTGATGACCTTGAATTTCTCCAGCAGAATGGCAGTGCTCGTTCCTCCACTCCTTCCTCTTCTCGCTCCCTCCACCACCGGCAGGACGAGGGCAGCAGTAACAGCGCCGTTGGCAGCAGCAGCAGCAGCAGCAGCAGTGACACAGAGGATGAAGTCGAAACTAGTGAAGTGAGGATGCGGACGAAACCCCTAGGTTCCGCCTCATCATCGCGTCTAGCCCTGCCCCCTACTGCTAGTTGTGGTCGGCGACGATCAGCCTCCCCCATGGCAATAAAGAGCTCCTCGCCTGTTCGCACTACCTTCCATAACAGCCGGCGGAGGTGATCGGCATTTGGTGAGTTAACAGGCTCTTAAACTCAGGCGTGACATTGGCTCGTTAACTGCAGTACCTCTACGCCAGTATTCAGTTGTGATTAAACCAACATGCGCAACAAATTGGAGTATCACGGACCACATATTAATAAGGATCTTTATTCCTCAATCTTTCCGTCCTGTATATGCTTTTGAATTTGAAATCTAGACAGTTGTTCTTCCTCTGTCCCAATTTGAAAATCTCGTTTACTTTGCTTAGTTTTGATTACTATTAAGGCAAATGTTTTTATGTTCTTCATTATTTTCAAAAAGTATCTTCGAATGACAATTTATATCCTCATACTCTTGTTCAACTCAGGTGTGAATACTAGGTCTACCGTTTTGCACGCTAGATTGTGGAGTCAGATTACGTCGGAGGCCAAGCAAAAGTACCTATTTTTCAAACCACATTTTCTTCTGCATCGCACTTAATTGGATATGCGCCAAGGCAGCCAGAGATTTTATAATTTTTGAGATGCCTTTTTACCTTCTACTTCATTAACCACCTTGTACTCCCTATAATCTACTCCCCTAACTAATTGCATTTGACAACCGAAACATCGCAACACCGACCACTCAACGGCCTGTGATAATCGATGCCCATCGGATGAGCATTGGCGTACCCTGCACCGTAGAATGTAAAGCCATGTCTCTACCCTTCTTCCCCTATCCGACGCTGTAGACAATACGAGACACCCCCAGCCGCATGTGCCCCGACCCTGTATATGTTCAAGAAGCGCTTGTTTGTATGTATGCCTGCCTGTACATAGCAATTATAGATTTGTCTTGTGCATTGACCTCCACTTCCTCCCTGAAATGATCTGATCCCCCCTAGCCTTTTGTACACGAAAAATTTTGTACAACATTCGGCTCTCCCCTCTCCCCTCATCATTTCTGCACCATTGCCTTTACGCCGTTTTGTGAACGACTGGCAGTTGTTTATACCTACATAACTATGTATAACAGCATATTTCAGAGCACGTCTACTCTTGTGGGCGCGCGTGCTCGGTTATCTCCTCTCGGGTATCGATATAAGATTCTTAGATTCGACATTTTATCCGCTATTGTTTCATCTCCTCGGGGGTCGGACTTGGATTGATTGATACATGGACTTCTAGGCTACTACAATACGCCAGTCACCGCATTTAAAGTGCAAAAAAGTTACCTCCTGTGGTCCCAATGGGGTCCCGAAGATTGTCGCGACCTAACTGTTCACTTTAAACGTGAGATACGAAAACAGAGTGGTTAGTTGTATATTCAGAATGGCGACTGGCTAGGAGTTTGTGCTGAAGCAGGTTTAAAATATTTCCAGTTGAATACCGTTTTCTGTCATTTGGTCTGAGGTTTAGGCGATAGGTTTGTGCTCACGAAGGCGCCGTAATTGCTCCATCTACTCACCCAGTTTGTTGGGTCACGCTGGCAATCCTTCGGTCTCGCATCTCCTCGTGGTAAATCGGCTCTTTCGTGCGCGAAATTTCTTATCGAACGGCCTTAGACCAACAGTAGACATGAGTCCACCAAGTCGATAAAGTTCCAACGTGCAAATAGCAGCTCCACATCTACTCTGTATGACCTTCAGTTGCTTGATTTTGCACTTAAATGGGGCCAGGTGACAAGGCACGTTATTCACTTTTGTCCTTAGAATGAGATTTGGCGCGCTTCAATACAGATTAGGCCTGAAGCTTGTCTTAATGACGTTTGGGAGCCAGAACTAGTGTGTAAGTTGTGTCCACACATGAGAAAAGCGAAGAGTGAATTACTTGCCTAGTTTGTACGAGTTACTAGTACAAGTCAATTTGGTTTGACCTGAATATGGTGAGGTCAGTTACTTTTATGCCGTTTTAATAAACTAACAGAGGCGTAATAAGATCCAGAGTGGACATCTCCAGTGCATGGGCGGGTACTAAAACTCCCTGAAATGAAACAGAACACCACTCGCGAGTTTATGCCAACAAACCAGTTGCCAATGAAACAGCCTTGCATTTGAATTACTAAGGTGTCTGTAAGCATGAAAAAGCATTCTTGAAAGCACAATCTTTTGGAAAAATCGTATAACCTCCAAACAGTGTGGATGGTAGACGAAAAAGTGTGCGACGATGCTTATGCACAAAAAATGAAAGGACACCAAAGGCAAAGTTATCTTAACATCACAGACAGTCCTGCCTTCTTCGTACCCTCCGGCACCTCCCAGTTCGTGAGGTTACTCGTTGAACACTTGGCTGCCAGATTGTTGACGTCGCGAGGGTCACCATGGTTTGGAAATTCGAAAACTGATCCAGAATAGAAACCGGGTTCTCGCTCCTCGTGGGATGCTGCAAACGCATTCGCCTTCTTTGGACTAGTCTTCAGCGGGTGCTTCAATTTAATCAATCGATCATTCAATGGAGAATGCAGCGGCTCTTCACCGATAGAGACGCGTGTCCATGACGACGGGAAGACGTCAACCGTGCCTTGACCGCCCATGTCATTCTTGCAGGTCTAGCCTATTTTGGAGAGTAAATATGAAATAATGCCGGATGCTGATCTGAGAAGTTTCATCGGTGGTTTTGGCAGAAGGCGCAAAATTCACCTGATCTTAACGCCCAACTGAGATTGAACTTTGTAGCGTGCCTAAATTCATAGGTGCAAAAGGATACACAAAAGTTTCCCTAACGTTTTAAGAGCTTTGTTGTAAAAACTTTTTTGATGTAAAAATTTTCAAAGGTATGCGTATTCGTGATTTTCTTAAATACTTCCAATGCCATTAAATAACGCTTACAATGCACATATACCAGTCTATCTTTTCAGGTTCATTTGGCACTAATGTAGAGGCTTGGTTCAGATTTATCTTGGCGGATGAATCAACATAGACGAAATGACAGTGTAACTAAACCAATGCCGTATTAACTCGATATGGTGCTCCTTGGGTGTTAACAAAGTGCGCAGGTGCACATGCTCCAAACCAGCTGTGACCTAATATCCAAAACATTATTGCACTGAGCAAATATTTCAAACCGATTTTCTTCGGAACCGCAAGTGCAGCAATTTTACACAAGATCTCAATATTTTACCAGTACATAAGGCTTGATGAAAAATCCCCACAGACAGTGATATCTGTGTGGATTTAAACGGAGCAAATGTCGATTCAAACAAATGAACCCCAGGGGCCTTTTTGTCATTAGAACTGTCAACATTCCACATCCTTGCTGAGTGATTGAAGTGTGCCAAGCAGCCACAAGGAATCAGAGACCTGAAGATCCGAGCACTGGCGCATGGCCCAGTCAGGATCAGAAAATGAATGAATGTACGGAGGGGCCGGGTGCGCAACGTTTCCTGCTTTGTCGAGATTTGCTGACGCCACCCATTCGATGGCACTGGAGCCAGCTTAGATATCCTTGTCTCGGATGAATCCACGTCGCCGGAGGAGGATATCTGTTGGTAGCCGACCTTCAGTGAGACAGAGGCATCAACTGAGCTTATATCATTAGGGAAAATCTTGAGATACTCGTGGAAATGAGGCTGATTGTGTCAATCACAGCATCCGAAAAATTCCTGGTAGTGGAAAAAGTGGCGTCTCTGATCATGTGTATGTAAAAGTCGCATGATAGTTATCGGATTAGAGTAATTGTTACCAGCGTACGAGGACTTAAACTAGAATAGTAATCGATGTTAATGAATATCGCATAGGTCATTAATGAACCCCTTAATCTACTAGTCCTACACAACTTTGGCATTGTCTAATGCACCACCATCCAAATGGCAGTGAATGTCCGGCATATTTTGCAAACTTCAAGCGAAATAAACAAAGCTACTGAAGCCAAAAATTCATTTCATATCATGTCATAGAAACGGACATCTAATAACATTACAATCAGTAATTAATCAATTATTCCTCCATATGACAGCAAATTATCAAAGCTTGGCGGTTCAGATTCCGAATGTATGCAAGCCTGTTCGGCAGAAACAAATTTGAGGAGAGAACTTTTCGAACACAAACCATGGATTAGGAAGACTGCCTGAGATATCAGTGGATGATAGGGTTGGTCAGGAACATGCCCAAACCGCTCCAGCCACGTCCGCAACCAACTACCTCTGACTAACAAAAAAACCTCTCAATGACCAGCCGAAGAAGGAGCAATGGCTCTCCATATAAAATGAAACGAACCATCCGACTACTACAAAAAAATTTAAACAAAGAAGTGGATTTGCAGAACACTGTCGGTATTTTAGCCTTACGCAAGGCAAGGGTATCCAGCAAGACCAATACAGTACACCAGCAGCAGAAAGTAATATACTTTGATGAAAAATAGTAACTTG